CCGAGCGGAGGAAGAGTGTGATGCTTCGGGTATATATCCACGTAATGCGTATCATGCGTTGAAACACAAAAAGGAATTGAATAAGTTGAAATTTGTCGTGCATATGGCGAATGAAGCGTGAACTTAAAAACTAGGAAGCACTGGACAGTTGTTTCGATCTGGTTGAATCTCATCAGCAGTACGAATCGATCGACCCAACGGTCTAATCAGCTGCCCGGTGGCCGAGTGGGTTGCGTGCTTGCGTTCCACCCATGTCCCGGGTTCGATCCCCAGTTGGGTCGATGGATTCGTACTGCTGATGAGACCCAACCAGGCCGAAACAGCTGTTCAATGCCTCCTAGAATTTTTAATTCACGCGTCATTTGCCATAGACAGGACAAATGTTCATTTTTAAATTGAATCAAATCCTCCATTACTCACATCAATTGAATAAGTGTTGGGAATCGGTGTTGCACGGCGCCAGCTGGCACCAAAAAGTTATTAAAACATTTTGCGCACAAACTGGTCAACCACAAGGTAGGGCATCAACGGTCACGATCAAGATACTGCAAATTTCACGACAGAAGTTACTAGCTGCTTAACAACTTAGTCTGATGCAACGCCCCCAAGATAACTCGATGTGGAAACATGGAAGGTCTGAATTTATCTTCTGAATGGAGCGTAACATAGTAACATAGTAACACTGTAAACTGGTAAGTTTTGAGTACCCATCTCCTTTGGGTTTATTTGCGAGAAGTGGACCAGTCACCGGTGGTCAACCCTTGACAGATACAAAACAGAGGAATACATTGATACATTTGTTTGGAAATCATTTGAACGTCTTGTAATTCATGCGAATTCTTGGCGATCAATGAATCGCGCACAGTTTATCTGAAGCCAAATCGTTAGTCCATTTTGGAGATTATTATTTTCTCTCTCTCTCAAATTATTTTCACTCAAGTTTGATCAAAACGCAAGTGAAAATATATCTTTGCAAATTTCGTTTTGCCGTGAGCAGCCTGGGCGAATTGGACTAGTAAGCAAGAACTCCACATGTGCCTTAGATCATCGAATTACACGAAGCTAGTAAAGATCTGAAAGTACCTTTGACCATTCTTGATAGGATATAATTTTTCTAAGTGCATGAAACGTACACCAAAGACCATTTAAAGAAGAAAGATATTAAAATAAAATGTATTATAATCCAGCATATAAATTTCATCTGATTCAACACCAGAAATTCTAAAGCAGTAGTGAGAGAGGAGTAACGAGTGATTATCCCAAAGATGAGAGCTCTCATAAAAATGTCATACAAAGACAAATATGTTGAATGATCAGCAATTAACAAGCGCGTGAACTCTGCTGGTGGGTGTGTCCATTGTGTAATCAACTTGATCTTTATCTGTCCCGTGCTCCTTTTACTAACGACAGAACCAAGGTTCCTACCCGCCAAATCCCAATAGATCACAGGATTCTAGTATGGATGTTCGGTCATCTACGTAGGCGGAGATAGAGGGACTCTCATCTCGCCGAACAGGTGAACACAATTCGGTGAGGAATAAAAACGTTATAAGCGAAGTTTCCAACAGATGCGCTGTGCGTTGGACAGAAAAGATGCGGATATTTGAATGTCGACTTGCTTAAGCGTGTCTTCAGTGGAATTGAATCAGTGTTGATACCACGTTTATTATCATCGTACATTCAATTGTACAAAGAATACGTGATTCAAGCACGGGATTCCTGATTTCAACGTGATCGTAAGATGCTGGAGTGTGCACAAAGGAGTTCTACCAAGATGACTAGGAGGTTGAAATGCTTTAACTAAGAGGAAAGATCACGATCACTGGAACCATATTCTGCTCATTCACACCGAATTTGAGGACAATTGATTATAATGTATCGAGTACTGCAGAACATAAATCATCCATGGCGTCCGCTGCTCACATTGTTACCTAACACATCTTCAGGAATATCGATTCACTTCACTGATTTCAAATTGTCGACCGGAATGCCGGCGTCAGTGGCTTACAGTCAGAGTGTGCACCACTTGGAACGCCTTTCCATCTCACGTCGTTTGTGCTCAAACTGTTGAATCTATCAAGCGAAGAATAGGTGCAACCCTGGCGCACCTTAAATTCCTGCACAATTAAGAAACGCAAATTACATGAAGACTACATGATGTGTTATCTCCTACCCGAAGCTATATGTGACAAATGGTCCTTTCTTGCTTGTAAACGATTTCATCGTCTAATTATTCTACGGGGAGGAGTCATGAAAAACACGAGATTTTAGGTTATTCCCATAATAAATATTAATAATAATAATGATGATTACAACAATAATAACAAAACTGACTTTGTTTGGATTTTCGTCGTCAGTACTAATGTAAACACTGGCTGCCTAACCCACAATTTACAAGATATGTACAGCACACCAATTGACAACATACTGAGAGAACGCTTTGTCAATCTCTCAATCTCGTCGGTTTTGCTTTGGACAATAAACCCTTAGATTTGGTGAATAAAGATTATTGTTTTCTAATTTGCTTAAGGCCGGTGCTTCGAATCCCCCTTCTCCAGTGACAGCGAATGTGTTCATTCCAGTAGTGTAGAACTTATTTCACGGAGCTACTGATATCTGAAAACTACTCATTCCCAACAACTATCGCCTAGGCTTTGTATGTGATCTGAGTACAGGTTAGGAATATGCAGATTCAGATTCTAGCTGGTTGAATGCAATGCGAGTTACGACACATTGAGTCACAGACGTTGGAGCGAATACATCTCGTTTTGTCATGGCACTGAATCTAAAAAATAAAAAATGTCTTTTTACTATGTTTTTCTATTTATTGAATATACAAGTGTACAGTCAACATTCAGAAGGGGGCTGCGGCTACACAAAGGCTGCCTGGGGAAAATACAGATGTATATATATATATATATATACATCTGTATTTTCCCCAGGCAGCCTTTGTGTAGCCGCAGCCCCCTTCTGAATGTTGACTGTACACTT